TTTTTATGTATCCTTTTATTCACACACAGGTGATGTGTAAGGTAACTGTTTTTAGTACGTAATCGCTAAACTTTGTTCGACTTTCTGTTGAGGTTGCCTGTGTTTAACTTAGGCTGATGCATGAATCCACACACCGGGGCTCTATTCCATCGGCAGCAGATAATGTCTCGATATTGGCATGCTACGGTTAATCCATAGATACCTAACTAACCAGGCTGTAGTAATAGTAAAAGCGCCGATACACAAATTTGAAATCTTCACAGAAAGGATTAGCCCTAATCAGTGTAAAATAGTCTTATGTAATTTGCGTTTGAATTTCTATGATGAGGAGTTATCATTATTTACACGTGGACTATTGTCCTCGTTTTTGTTGTTGTTATCAAACCGTTTCGGCTTCATCAGATGCTTGTCGATCCGAGTAGCCTACAGGAAATTTAGAACTGAACCCTCTATTTAATCTACGGGGTTAGACTATTTTCGTTCCACTGTCTAAGACTACAATGTTTACTACTTATTTAGTACTTCTCAGTTATTTCATGCCTCGTTTCCACGGAGTCCAAGTACACACTACCAGATCCAGATTGAAGTCACAATTACTATGTTACCAAATTCACGAAACAACGCTTTAGGCTTGACTCAGTAGAGAATTCTCCGTAGGGTGGATTTGCTTTTGAATATTGTCCTGATGTTATATGGATCCAGAGCCGGCTCAAGTTACTGGAAACTCGGGCAGTCACCCGGGGCGCCATTATGCTGCCATATCACGTGCTTGGGATCTTTCAAAACTTATATAAACATACTCGCGGTAGTCCATGACTCAAGACAGATTAAATTCTTTGGCTATTTTGTCAATAGAAAATGATCTTGTAAAGAAGGTAGGTGTAGAAAGTGCCATTAAAAATTTTGCAGATCTAAAAACTAGAAAAATGTTTTATGTAGGATAATAAATTTTTCTTTAACTTGTATTAAGTTGTATATTGTATTAAACTCGTTATTCTACATTTTAAGTTGTTCTGAAATTTAAAAAAATTGTAAGGGCGCCGACGTTTAACTTGCCCGGAGTGCCAACAACTCTAGGGACGTCACTATATGGATCATAGATCTGAATCTTTTCCAATGAGATCTTGTATAGAAGACAGGCTGTGGGTGCGAAGGAGCACTAGAAATGTGGCACGGAGTTAAGTAGGTAGCTGCTAGAAAATCATTAGATGGTGACGCATATTGTGACCAGGTTCATTGTGGTAAAGTCCAACGCAAGCAGATGTCATATCAGGAAAAACGCATAATTGCTCCTTTTATTTAATTAGAGTTGCTTGAATGGATTTGGATTGTAGGTCTTTGAAAGGCTGGATGGAGAATTGTTGTGCATATTCAACATGACACATAAGCGTTGTTAGCAACAGTTGTTGGCAACAGTGATCAAATGAGTTTAATTGTTAGCCCCAGTAATCAAATGATTATTCTTACACTCGTAGACCAGGTTCTGGACGGTCATATAGTACAGACACTTTCGGAAATCTATGCACTCAAAGGATAGCTGTTACAGACCACATAGTATCTACAGTATCTTGGAGTGTCAGCGAATATAGTTGGAATCGTTAACTTGTAACAGAGATACGGGCCTTTAGCCAGACGTCAACTTACGCCCCAACAACGTTCTGCATGTGTTCAGTTGTGTCGTAAAAGGGTCATCTGAGAGATCCAATGTCGTTCTGCTCAGTAATGAGAGCAGGTTCAGCCTTCTTTGAAAGTGATGATTGATTGCGTATGCGACATCTTCCGGGGTGTATTCACCTACGACACACAGGACCAACCCATGGCATCATGATATAAAATGACATTAGCTATAAGTCTTGCTTGTCTTTGGTATTTGTAGAAGGAATTTTAAACAACGCCATATACATACAAAACCTTGTTGAACCCGTTCTGCTACCATCGTTCCTGTGTTTAAGAACTCTGGAGACCCCTCTGACCCCTCTAATTACCGTCATATTAGTCTCCTACCCCTCTTCGGCAAAGTCTTCGAAGCCCTAATCAATGCCTAAGTGGTTAATCACCTTACATATAATCTGCTCTCAGACAAGCAATATGGTTTCCGCTACGCCCGATCTACAGCTGATGTGCTTACGACCATCACTGAAACCGTCTACCAAGCCCTTCAAAATAACGGAGAAGCTCGTGCCGTGGCCCTCGACATCTCCAAAGCATTCGATAGGGTTTGGCACGCCGGCCTTCTTCGTAAGCTCCAGGGGTATGGTGTTACTGGTCAACTGTTTGATCTAATACAATCATTCCTGTCAAACCGAGAATTGAAGGTCGTTCTCAACGGATTCTCCTCCAGTTCCTATCCCACGAACGCAGGTGTTCCCCAAGGCTCCATCCTTGGCCCCACTCTTTTCCTTATTTTCATCAATGACCTTCCCGACGCTATAGATTCCCAAGTTGGCATCTATGCAGGCGACACTACAATTTACTCCTGCCTCCAAAACAAATCTAATGTCGGCGAAAAAACTAATCTGGCCATGCGTCTCGAAATGGACCTCCAATCGGTTGTTAACTGGGGCAAGAATTGGCTGGTCAACTTTAACGCCACTAAGACTAAATTACTCTCCATTAACCACCATAGAGATCCTTCCCTGCCCCCCATTATAATGTCTGATAGTCAACTTCCTGAGAGCAATTCCCTGCGTCTGCTCGGTCTCACGCTGACTGCTGACCTGAGATGGAACAAATACATCGAGTCAATTGCTTCTTCCACCGCGAGGAAAGTTGGCTCTCTGTGCCGCGCCAGGAAATTTTTCTCCCCTGAATCGATACTTCAAATATACAAAACAACCATTCGCCCTTGCATGGAGTATTGCTGCCATATATGGGCTGGAGCACCTTCTGCTTACCTCGGAGTTCTTGACAAGATCCAGAGACGGATATGTAATCTAATTGGCCCTGATCTAGCGTCTCGTCTGCAGTCACTCTCTCACAGACGCGCCGTCGCCTCTCTCTGTCTTTTCTACAAATACTTCCATGGTAACTGCTCCGACGAGCTGCTTTCACTGGTTCCCAGACTCCATGAATTCAAGCGCCCTACGAGGCTGGCACCTCGCTCCCACCCTTACACCGTAGAAACTTTCAAATGTAGCCGTCTCTTCTACTCCAATAGCTTCATACCTCGCACCTCTCGCCAGTGGAACACCCTCCCCAGTTACTGCTTCCCTGAAGGCTATAATCTCCAACTATTCAAATGTAATGTCAATGGACATCTCCAGTTACCTTGATCTACCCACTATCCTTCTCCTCATCCTTTCTCCTATCACTCCTATCTGCTCTCGCTCCAAATCTTCCGCAACCCCCCCTGCATCCTAGTGGCTTCACGCCTTGCTTGGGGCGTAATGCTTTAAAAAAAATCCAACAACAGGAAATCGAAGTGCTGTTCCAGCAACATAATACCTGTCCAAATAGTGCCCGCACTATTCAACATGATCTGCAAGATGTTCGACATGAAATGTTCATCAGACATGCACCCATTTAACATGCCCGAGACATGGTGGGACGATACCTGATTTGCTGTATTATGTCAACAGGTGCAAGCGGCATGGAATAATATATCGCAGTATAGTATTTGCCAGCTATACTATGGAGGTGAAAGTATAGTCCTGTATTAACATCTAAGCGTGATATAAAGTATATTAAATGGGATTTGTGTATTATTGGTTCAACAGTCATTTTGGAACATTTACACGTATTGAATAACATATCTTATTGTGCATAATACGAGACATTTTGAACGAAAATTAAAGGCAAAAAGTGGGGTCGTATACACTTGTACACATTTTCAAAAAAATTTACTCAGCTTAAAAAAACTCTTATTTGCAAGAACAAAATTGCAAATACTCTCAGTACAATAGATAATAAAACACAAAAAATAGGCAGGCGTTGATAACAATTATTTACAAAAAGTATTTAATATGTGGGCAATATTTGTTCTTTGGGAATCAACGTAATTGAATGTCTTTTGACTCAAGGACAAGAAATTCACTGAAATTTATTAAGAAAATTAATAAAGGGAATACACAAGATCGCTTAAAAAATGGGGTATTTATTCCCATGCTGTAAGGCTGTTTGATATTGTGAGGCTGTTTGATGTTTCCCGTTTGTCGACATGTTTAAAATTAGAACAATTTTATGCACAATAAAATCCGTTTCTGTTTTGATTTTCTAGTTTTTTTTAATGAAATTTTTTCTCTTCATTCTTAAAGACCCTTTCTTCATAGTTTATTAATACACAGAAATATAACAAAGTCATATCATACAGAAAAGTATGATAGATTAATTAACATCTTAAAAATGTATTACGTGGTACAGTGTAACCCGGATATAAGAGAGTTGTCGGGACCGGACAAGAAGTCTCTTATATCCGGGTTTGGTCTATTTTGTTTAGGTAAGTATGGGAACACTTCATATAACGCTTTTTACATACAGAACACTAGTTTATTTAACAGTTATAGACATAAAAAACACAGACAAAAATACATTTTCAATCAGTTTTCAAAATAATTCAATCAAAAATTACTTTTTCTTAAAAAAGTCAGTCATTTGTTAACACCATGAACACTTTCATACAGTCCGTAAATCATTTTCAATGCGCCATTAGGATTATTGCTTTTTGCTTCAAAGTAGGCTGTTAGAGTTTCAAGCGCATTCAATGCAGCCAGAGAATTTGGCACTGGTTTGTTACTTTCAGAAACTTCAGAACTTACGCTTTCAGCATTATCATCTTCATCAAAATCTTGATCATCCGATTTTATACCACGTGTGATGTCCGTGTCAGTCAGTTCTCCATAACATTGTGTACGGTCGTCGAAGCTGATAAATTCGTCAAAATCTGTTTGCTCCATGCCCGATGGTGGAGAAACTTGATCATTTTCGTCGAGTATTTCTTCCACTTCAGCCTGTGATTCAATGACAAAGCCGGCCTTTTTAAAACAATTTTGAATTGTTGACGGTTAGACCATGAAAAGTGCTCGCTTCATCATGTGCATGGCCTTCAAAACAGTTATCTGCTTGGCCACCTCGGACAGCGGCACTGGCGGTGTAGCATGGATCGCTGCGATTTGCATTCGAACAAGTTCCCGACGATAATACGCTTTGAATGAACGAATGATGCCTTGATCCAAAGGTTGAATGAGACTGGTGGTGTTTGGTGGCATGAACGACAATTTGATGTTTGATAGATTTGAACCCGGCAATAAGTTATGACAAGTTGCATTGTCCAAAAACAGAATAATCTTTCGATTTTGAGCAAACATTTTTCGATCAAGCGTTTTCATAACGTCAGTAAACAGCTGACTAGTCATCCAGGCTTTACGATTAGCGAAGTAAGAAAACGGCAGAGTTTTTGACATTTTAAAGCAGCGTGGTTTTACCGACTTACCAACAACTACAGCTTGCTTTTTCACTGCCGTCCATGTTTGTGAACTGAAGCATCGTGAGTCTGTCTTTGGGAACTTTTGTCCCATTTGACTGTTCGTCGCCGGCAAATCGCAAAGATCCAGACGGCATGGCTTTGTAGAAAATTCCCGTTTCATCACAGTTCCAAACATCTTTCGGATCATATCCACGAAAAAGTTGCGGCAAAACGTTTGTCACCCATTCGTTGGCAGAACCGTGATCTGCTGACGTTGATTCGCCGTGAAATTTTTTGAACGAAACGTTATCGGCCTGCTTCCAGCGCATGAGCCAGCCATTGCTCGGTTCAAAATCAACTTCAAGATTTACGGCCAGTTGTGATGCTTTCTGCCTGATAACGTGATCGGTGACGGTAGCTCCATGAGCACATGCTTGCGTAAACCATTGTGTAAGCGCTTCGTTAACGTCCTTGTGCACGGATTGGCGCTTTCGTTTGCGATTAGTGTTTCCGTTCATTTGCATGCAAGATCTGAGATCGTCTTTTTTCTTGAGAATTTTTGCTGCTGTTGAATAACCGATTCCGTACTTTTTGGCTGCAGCGGCCAGTTTGAGTTTCTTCACTTTGACATCGTCGATGAGCTCCAACTGTTCAGAAATGCTCAGAGTTTTTCGTTGAGACGCCGACACCACTAATCGCAATGATCGCAAGCAAACAGTTTTCAGTGGCAAAATTAACAAACAGACAAACTTCTGACTCAACAGAACAGTGGGTAAAGTGAAAGTGCTGTCCAGTAAATGCAACGACAGGCAAAGTCGGCAAAAAAGCGTGCGGCGCTACCCTTAGACACACAAAGCAAAATCATAAGGTAGAGGGTGTCTCCTACAGACACAGATTGGACACACCGTGTCTCTAGACTAGTCAAGATTAAGTCATTGAACTCCGCTCTCTCTCTAACTGACGTCTGTTTGACCGATTTACGACATCACACTCTCACTCAAAACGAACTCTCTTATATCGGGGAGGACGGGACCAGAGAAAATCTCTCTTATATCCGGGTTTCTCTTATATCAGGGTCTCTTATATCCGGGTCTAATTTATATACATTAACACAGGCTCTAATTTGGGACTAGAGAAAATCTCTCTTATATCCGAGTTTCTCATATCCGGGTCTCTTATATCCGGGTTACACTGTATATCTAGTTAGCTTCCTTTTCCCGAAAATTCAAAGATAAGTTTTAAAACGGAAATTAGAAGAAACGCACAATGGCTAAATATCCGGTTCATTTCTATTCTTTATTAAGGTGAAAGAATAAATATTTTAGGGAAATGTGTGTATAACAGTGAAATTTAAATGAATAATGGTGATACAACATTTAACAGAAGAATTTACATACTGATGGCGATAGTGCGGTTGTCGTATTATACTCAAGAATGTAATTTATTCCCTGATTTAACTTCAGAAACAGGAGGTCGTATTTATACCCAACACGGGGTTGTATGATACTCAAGGATGTAATTTATTCCCTGTTTTTAAATTCGGAAACACGAGGTCATATTATACCCAAGAATGTAATTTATTACCTGTTTTTAGGTTAAGAAACACGGAATCGTAATTTATTTTCTGCTTTTAGCTTCAGAAAGACAGGGTCGTATTATACTCAAGGTTGTAATTTATTCCCTGTTCTTAACTTCAGAAACACGGGGTCGTATTATATACAAGAATGTAATTTATTCCCTGTTTTAGCTTCAGAAACACTGGGTCGTATTACACTAAAGAATATAATTTATTCCCTGTATTTAACTTCAGAAACACGAGGTCATATTATACTCAAGAATGTAATTTATTCCGTTTTTAGGTTCAGAAACACGGGATCGTATTATACTCAAGAATTTAATTTATTCTCTGTTTTTAACTTCAGAAACACAGGGTCGTATTATACTCAAGGATGCAATTTATTTCCTATTTGTAGGTTTAGAAACACGGGGTCGTATTATACTCACGAATGTAATTTATTCCCTGTTCAGAAACGTGTGGTCGTATTATACACAAGAATGTAATTTATTCCATGTTTTTATGTTCAGAAACACGGATCGTATTATACTCAAGGATGTAATTTATTCCCTTTTCTTAGCTTCACAAACACAGGGTCCTGCTATACTCAAGAATGTAATTTATTCACTGAATTTAACTTCAGAAATACGGGGTCGTATTATACTCAATGATTTAATTTATTCCCTTTTGTTAACTTCAGAAACACGAGGTCTCATTATACTCAAGAATTTAATTTATTCCCTGTTTGTTGCTTCATAAACATGAGGTCGTATTATACACAAGAATGTAATTTATTCCTTGTTTTTATCTTCAGAAACACAGGGTTGTATTATACTGAAGTCGTATTATACACAAGCAAATATGGTATTTACTTTAATCTAGTTCTATTACTTGTACATTTAATTTTTAGCAAAGTGAAACACATATGAAAGGAGGTACAATTTTATATTACGCCAGTATACTTTTTAAAATTTGTGTAATTCTTTACGTATGTTGAAGGCTGATGCATGCGTTTCCCAACTTGTTGCTGGCGTTAGTAACATCGGTGTTTGAATTTGAGAATAACACGCTGTTTCCTGAAATGCCCACAACAAACATGGCAGATTCGGGATGTGAGTCCATGTCAATAAATGATAAGCAACGGCAAGAACCAATATATATGTACAAACAAAAGATAATGTATTAACAATAAAGAGTTATAAGTGACAAAGACAAAGATGTGTGTGTCAAATAAATGTCAAAACCTAATAGTCCAAAGTATGCGTAGTGATTGAATGTGTGTACGTACGTGCGCACGCGTGTATGTGTGTATTGTTCATGCGTTTCCCAAAAGAGGACGTGTTCTCCGCGAGAGCTCACATGTTGGCGAACAAGATCAGAAGAGAGTGATAAAAAATTATTGTAGAGTATTTATAGTCCTAAGAGCGTCTCCTGGTACCATTTTCGAAAAATAGAAGGCGGTAATCCAGCAATACTCCTCTCCAGGTGGGTAGATTTTTTTTTCTACCCATATGTAAAGTTCTTGTAGCTTTGTTTCTGTACTCGTGAGCTAAAAAGAAAGAGTGTCAGAAGTGTGGTTTCGATGCGTGATTCGACGAAATATACTCGTGCTGTCATCAGGGTGCTGTATTATTTTCTAGGTGAATGCTCTGGAAAATGCGCCGGTAGTGTAAATTGTTCAGTGTTTGCTATTAAAATTTGTCTTTTTCTAATGCTCCACGTTGAATTGGTTTTTTCGTTGTATTGATTCTTTGTTATTAGAAGGGTTTTGTTTGAGAAAGGTATTGTTTGTTTGCTATACGTTATTGTTGTTGGCGCACAAAATTTAATAGGAGCAGCGTTGTAGAAAAGTTGCGTTGATGTAGAATTTCTACCGAGTGTCGAATGCATGTTTGAGAAATTTAAGAAAATTTGCTATTATTGTTGATTGCATATCGTACTTGCAAATTCTTAGTGTTATTCGAGTGACATCGTCGCAGAATAAAAAAAAAAAAAAAAGTAAGTCGCCTTTTGAGATATGTCACACTTTATCTGATTAACCCAGAAGAAATAGTATTAATTAAAGCTGAAAAGATGTCTGCCGGTCGAGATCAAGTCAAGCGTAATGGTGCCGTGTTTGTTGTTTGCCAGAGTCGATATTTTCAAATGACTGAGTAGTCTGTATATTGACTCAAGATGTCGACGTATACTGCAGGATCAAGCAAAAAAGACAGTAAGGATGAGACGTGTATTGTTTGCCTACTGATGGACCAATGTAGCAGTAAGTGAAAAGCGATTTATATTTATAGTCTTGAGAGCGTCTCCTAGTAGCGGTTTCAAAAATTAGGAGGAGGTAAACCGACACGTATGGTGTCTTACTTTCGATAATCGTAGATGTTCTTCGAGTGCTGATAGTCGGGTTCTCTTTTACATTGCATTTTAAAGCGCATCATTTCGACAATGAACGACCATAACGATTTATGGACTTTATTTAAAAAAAAAAAATAAGTCACTAACCTTAAAATGCTTAAATCAACTTTATTGATTGCTTGGTTTGTTTTCTACGGCTTATCAACCCTTTTAAATCGCTTTTAGTTAGTATGGCTAGATATTGTTTCATTTTCTGAAACCGTTGCTTCCCGCTTTGCTTGGGGTGAAATGCTTAAAAAAAAATTCCTTCCCGTTTCCAAATTTCGTGAGCAACTTTGAGGAACAGTTTGAAATAGTGCCCAAAACTTGCCATAATTTACTTGTATCTGCCATAACCACATAGGAAACAAAAACACTTTTGATAATAATAATAATAATAATAATAATAATAATAATAATAAATGATCAATAGAAAATTACATGAAACTATTTCTGACCTTAGGACTCTGGATGGGACACGGAAGGAAATGTGTATACAACAGAAATCAAAGGAAATAATAATAATAATAATAATAATAATAATAATAATAATATCGAAGCCCTAGATGTTTTTGAATGTGTTCAAAAGATAAGCTTTGGTAAAAATGTTTGTAAAGAAGGAATATTCTTTTGATACACACTAATATTAATTAATATCGCCGAATATAATATCTTGGTTATAATCCTGAGGATTGCACAAAAGATCAATAAAATCTTCATAATTACTTTCAATGTTGTTGATGTCTGGAAAATGAAGGTACAAGCTTTTATCAGATGCAATTTCTTTTGCTTGATCCTTGTTCACTGTTGTTCCAATCGCGATGATAAAAAATACTGCATACTTATCCTTTAGCCGAAACTTATCAACTTCAGATTTGAGCTCTTCCAAAGGCTCTGAAGATTCATCGACAAATACAACGATCATTTTCTTTCGATTTTCGAGCAGTTGAAAGCGTTCTGGATATCGAAGAAACGAAGAAACGATTCCCTGGGGCCCTGAGAATTGTAAATGATCAAACCTTTCTATTAGAGCGGTTACATTTGACACAGATGGTATTTTAATGACACCTACAGTTGGTCTGGAACTAAAATGGATGCCAAAGAAGCAGTTAAGTTGTTTCCGTTCTAACATTCGAACAGCGCGAATGGTAAATTCCATAATCTGATTTGATTTCAGTCGTCCAAATCCGGCTAAATCTATCAGGAATCTGAAATCCTGATTCTGCATCTGTTGGCAATCTAAAATACAAATGAGAACGAGAAAAGAATAACAAAAATTATTTTGGAAAACATTCAATTAAAACTTGACTAAATTGTGTTATTTGCCGTGTTCAGGATAGTGGTGATAAAACGAAAAATTACTAACTTTTTAATTATATACCAATAGTTGCGTCAGTAACTTAAATGTCTCAGTAATGCACTCTATATTTTTTACAATGATGTTCACTCTGTACAAGGCACAAGTGCCACTCGATATAGAGGCTTACAAAGTAAGAAGCACAGGTTATGGCGATATGTGGGGAAGTTTACGGTTCACCTTAGACTTGAACAGGTTAAGATTGTAGTGATCGAGGAAGCAGCCTCTTGGGAGTCGGTTCCATAAAGCAGCGGTTCGCGAGAAGTAGTAGTTTGAGTGGAACTTGCATCTCACCAATGGAATACGAAGGGAATTAAGGTGGTTCGCTACAATGTGCGTGGCATTGCACGTCTGGGCCGTAAAGGTTAGAACTGGTAGAACTAAAGAAGTAGTTCGTTTGAACACTTTCCATGGAAATTGCGGTAGAGCAGCAAGAGGCTGGTTATGTTTCGTCTGTGGAAAAGGGATTGTAGGATGGAAAGTAATTCATCACCCACAAGGACGCGGAGACGCCTTTGGACTCTATCGAGACTGGAAAATGAAGACTGGGCAGCTTCAGCCCAGATATACCAGTAGCACTCCATTTTTCGCCTGATCTGACTCTTGTAAAGTTAGAGGATAGCAGGAAGAGGTCAGGTACTTACTGGAGCAGTACAAGGAATCAATAATTTTTCCAGCATCTTTAGTGATGGATCGTATGTAAGAGATCCACTTGAGGTCTAGGTTGAGTATGCCCTAAGTGTATAGCGCACTTGAATGAGGAGTATTGTTTTCTTTTATACTAAACAATAATGTTCAATCTATTCTTCTTCGATGATAAGTGGTATAAATTATCACTCTTCTTTATTTATTCAACAAATACAAGAGTAAGATGTTAACTGATAGACAGGTAAAAAGCTGTATGATGAAGAAAATCAATCGCATAAATTAACATGCGACTTGTTCGGGTGGATATTTCTAATTGTCGTGAATTTTAAGGTTGGTTAGCAAAAGATCCAAACAAAAAAAAAAATTGTCGACATTAAATGGCAAATATCTTGGAGGGTAAAAACTATATATTCGCAGAAGTATAAAAATTCATGTGAAAAAAATTACAACCGCATAGCGAATATTTTAATAACGAATGAGCTGTTCAGACGGCATTTTCTTGATAAATGTAAGTCGCCTTGTTAATTGGATCGAATTCATCTTGTTAATGACGACGCTGTTTCTGGATCAGAGCAACAAAAAGCGAACATTCTGGAAAAAATGAATTGAGGATAAAATAAACTCCTCCTCTGAATTATTTTCCACGAATCAGAAGAACGGAATGTCAAAACCCCAATAAAAAAATAACTTTGTGGGCCTGCAGACCTAAATAAATAGAAAGTCACTGGCCGGTGAAAATTACTGTTTATTCAAGCCTCGTCACACAAACATAGGGATGACCATATCAATTAACATTTTTTGATGAGTGCGAAAATGGCATTAAACCTCGAAACGGCACGTGGCCAATCCAAAATCCAGAAGAAGTAAAACTTTAAACGCCGACGCATCACACAGCCGACTAAAAACTCCGGACAACATAAGAAACTAGAAACTGCCAATTTGTTCTTCTAAAACTACCTTCCCTGAAAATTCTGCTGCCATAATTCTTCATTCAGTTTTCCTCATCAACAACATTTTCGCTATTATTACGAATGACCTCGAACATTAACAACGTGTGAACATACCCTGTATCACTTTAACAAATACCTTTTTAACATTTTATCAACGCTCTAAGTCTCACTTTCGCAAACATTTCGTAACTGTTCCATTTCACATTAAATAAGAGTCCTTCATCCTTGTGCTCCTAATGTGCTATTAATTTTCAATTTTTTCTATGTTGAATAGAACGAATACTCATAAATTCATAGGTGACATATTTAAATGAAGCCAATTTCAGAAAATAATTGAACTGTATATTTGGCCTTGCTAAATGTATGAATGCGTCATTGTATCAATACGCCGTAGAGCAATAATAGATAAAAAAAAAGATAAAAAAGTCTATTGCGTTACAAAATTGAACTATCTGGCCTTGGCTCAGCTATAATTTATACGCATGTCAAAGGGCAAAAAAGTGATAGTTTAGTGAGAGGCGCGAAATGTAAGTGTAACACCCCTTGTGAGCTCCGTGCAATTTCTCCGGCGGCCGTTCTCCACGCTGTGATGTTGCCGGGGGTTGGTTGAAAAAGTCGAAGTCTCAAGCTGGGGGCACAAGATAAACCATTGAAGGAACGAACTTCCACAACTTAGATGAGTTTAATCAACGCTTTATTTCGTTCAGACTTAGTCTTGCCGTTGGGGTAGGCGATGTGACACTCAGCTCTAACTCTAACTAATGGAGATCAAATGCCGAACCGACCGACTCAGACGAACGGAGTTTCACTTCTTCAGTGTGCCTGACACACGTAGCTACTTCAAGCACACGCCCGGCTGAACTGCTCGGCTCGGAAAAATCACTTGTATTTATATTGAAATAATCGGAAGTCCACTAGACCACCGGTTGAAAACAAAAGATAAGCATTGGCGACTGTAAGTTCAAAATTTCAAGGTACTTAAATTTTGCTTCCTTTGATGTGTAAAAATCCTGCGGACATCCCGTCTACACTCGGCCTCCAACGATGTATTTTCCAGGATGTTTTTTAATCTTTTTATCTTAACAAATCTTCGTGTGAAGGCCGTCGGATGTTTTTATAGCCCCGGCACTTTCTCAGTAGCCAGGGTTTTTTTTTCTTTCCATTTTTTTTTTATTGCCTGGAGAAAGGGAAAATTCCGTTATCTTTTCTTTATTTCCTTAATGTGTTGTCGTGATACAGTAAAGACAGTTTTTGACCTGGTCATCTAAAATCTATTTCCTAAACGTTTATCTTTTATCACATCAAATCACTTAGTCAAATATTTTATTGGAAGACTGGTAGGATTTAACAGTAATCTGATGCCTTTTTCTCTTCCACAAATTTACTTATAAAAGAAAAAGCGTTTATTTTTTTTTTTTTTTTTTCTTTTCCCTTAGTACTTTTGTTAAACGAAACACATGTTTTTAAACTATTTTTCTATTCTTAACCATTTTCTATTCTTAATTTATTAAAATAAAATACATATTTTACAAATCAACCATAATATACGCCTAGTTATCGTGTCACATAAGTCGACTTGTTAATTGGATCGAATTCATCAGAAGGCGAGCATGTGTAAGCTAGCCTTTTTTTCTCTCGTCGTTCGTGACCTAGCCGCATCACTGACGCAAGGTACACCAAGTCAACTATCAAGTAAGACCTTAATTCTATTCTCTTTTTCCATATCTGTTAATATGTATCAGTTTCGATGAACCAAAATATTATTGTTGTGTTCATATTCTGTAAATATGTAGATAAAGTGTTTTCTCTCAATCATATCCTTGTCTGTTTTCACCCATGAATAAAGTGTTACCATATCGCGGACATGGATTGTTATACTAGAATAATAAGGACAGTTTACCTCCGCCAGACATTCCAATAAATCTCAAGTTTTAGAAGAAAATTTAGAATTAGTTATGAATGAAAAATAAAGATAAAGAAGACGCCTTGCTAAAAAAAAAAAAAGGCTATAAGTAACCTAACCTCGCAGACCAGTACTAATGCGTTCATTTCTCATTGGTTGTTGTAGAGTTATGGTCTTATGCATAGTAAGCACCTACAAGTTAGCAAGTTAGAATTAATAACAGAGTATTTCATTTACAGTAATTTAACGTCTAAGAACACATTTAAATGATTTAAAATGCGTTTTGCAGGGATTTCTGTTGTTTTTAGGTGGTTCGTGGCAGTTCCTATCTGTATTAGACACATGTCCATTTCTTTAATCATTTCAAACAATAAAAATGTTTAGTATAAAAAATAAAGGAAATACAATAAGATTAGATAGGTTCACCAGTTGCCCGGTTCACGATTCTTCCCCGCGTTTTGAACAGGAGTAGAAGTTTATCCCTTGTTTTCTGTTTAGTATTGGGTTTCCTGTTCCTTCTGAAGTCTTCTCAATCTTTTACATTCTCAGTAACTTCGTGCGTCTTAGTGGCATTATCACCTTGCTTGGGGTAAAATGATGTTAAAATAATCAGTATACGCATACTTTTACATACAAAACCTTGTAAAAATATATGTAAGTAATTTCAATTTTTTTCAACAATTATTGGAAGTTTATTCATGATACTAATTATGACTATGTCTAAGCTTTAAATATCGCTCAGTTATAAGTAAATTTTTAGAGTAAAAATCATTATCTTTAGAGTAGAAATTATTATTTTGTGCAGAGAATTTATGAAATATAAAGAAAAGAATAATTTCTTAGCGAAGTTGATCTCTATGGCAAAGACGATTTTATTAACTAATTAAATTAAACAAGCTTGTAATATAGCTTTTGTTAATTATAAACTTGTAGAGAAAAAATAAAATATACTTACTGTCACGTATTTCGGCAGCTAAAATAATAATAAAAAAAATAAAATTGATTCAAAATTCAACAATTATTTTCATTTAAAAAGTTTATTCGTTTATTATAAAATAGAACGTTCGATATTTATGAGAGAAAAGTACTTGATATCAGGGATAGAGCGTATGTAAATATAAGCAGTGTGGACATGGATTTCAACACTGGATAGCGTAAGGCCATGTGGGTGGAAGAATAGCTATTCGACTCATTGCGTTTAAGCATTAAACAAATTATCGATACCCAGTGTTTCTAACTAATTCCACACTGCTTTTCAAACATAAACTCTTATAGCTGTGTGTGTGAACAATTTTGCCCTCATAAAATTTATGATTCCCTCGTAATACAAGGAGATGGAGTCATGCCCTTCCCCAGATTATTTGGGCGTAGGGAAACAGCGAGTAACCTATTAAATAAGGTTGATAGCAACACGGGACTGCCAAAGATAATAACAGGAAAAACATTGCTTTGAGCTACAGATGTCTTATTAAAAATGCAGGAGACGATTATTTGGTACAAAGTTGTTTAACTTCAGTTTCATTAGTTAAAACCTACTATAAACATTTTGAGAATCATATAGAATGCTTTCATCTTTAATACTTTAATATATGGATTACATCATATAAAATTTAAAAAAGAATAAACGGTACCAATAGTGTGTGATTAATCCATTTGTCTGATAAAGACATCCTCCTAATTGTCTCTAGATGGCGTTGTCAAGAGTCAGTATAAAAGAAAAGGACACATTCTCTCTCTCTCTCTCTCTCTCTCACTCTCTCCTTTTTTATTACTCTCAGAATGCCGTAGGGACAACCCGCTTTTCATTTCCCCCTCCGCAGGACTTCTTCGTCCCTAGCTAATCACGTGTCGCATTGTACACAACACAGCATTCAAATGGAACCACGTATCACAGTGAAAATAATACAGTATACAGATATTCTAAGTTTATATATCTACCAAACTAATAGAAAAAAAACAAAAAACGTCTCCAATGTAAATCTCTCAATATCTACAGTAGCAATTTACACATATATTACGTACGAATAAAGACATCTTTGTATACACACTTCCATTTATTTCTTTTTATATCTTTCCTATTTAATTTTACTAAATAAATAAAATGTCGTTATATGTACAATATTGCTTGTAGTTTTATTCATATTTCCTGTTCGAGAAAACATACTATTTAACCATCATAATATCACGATAGTATTGTGGGTTGCCCTCATTTGGATTCGCGAAGACGCCGTTAGGTGACGCTATTAAATTAAACTGCTATAAAAACACTCCTGTTTTCTTTCTCTTTTCCTTCTAGCATGCAGTAGAAGTAACACCCACCTCTTGTCTCGGGCATGGGCGTATCTTTCCTTTCAGTAACTGAACTGTTACACACACACACACACACACACACACACACACACACACACACACATGCACACACACATGCGCGTGTGTGTGTGTATAACACATACAATTCATAATTCCATAATTGCAATGCCTTCCTTTTAAATGCATACTAGTATATTTTCTCTTTGTTGTCCAGTTATATAAAAACACAAGAAAATATCGCCTTGTTAAAATTTATTCCATTTCCTTACACCTCCTTTAACAATGACGACCTATCATTTACATGTGTAAACAGGGCCGGTGCAAGGGTATCATGCCTCAACAGAATCTATAATACCCTCCGAATCTATGATACGCCCTCCCGACTATGTTACATCTTAATTTTCATAAGGTAGTATTCATATAAAATATAAATTTTATTGTAACTTAATTATGTGCAATAATGGATCACATGCAATATAGATGAACAATTCAACAAGAAACACTGAAAAGTATAATGTATCTAAATACAAATTAGAGACATGTTATAATAGATCATTCCATCTTAAATAAATCAATAATGTTTTGCGACAATTGTTGACACCAGCTTGAGATTTTTTCATGTTAAAAAGTTAAATAATTGTAACATATTCAACACTATGGATAAAATAATATATTTTGGACAAAAAAAAAAAAAAAATAGACCCTAGAATGACGTCAAAATCCGCAATTTTTTTTCATCCTTTAATAGTCAGATGTGCTTAGTTTAATTAGTAACGTATATAAAATGTAGGTAGAAAAAAAAGCAAATGTTGTTAAGATAGCAAGGGCCACAAAGCACTTCCCGGGGACCCCAGTCAGACTTGCCTCACTACAGTGGGGGTGTCGAGAGTAGTTACGCACCTCCCCTGTCTATACATTTTGTTTATCACTGATTTTAGTCTAACTAGGAGGAGTACAGTAACAGTATAACTCTTGCATGAATATACATGCACACACTCTACTATATCAATTACTAATTTCGCTAAAAATATATTCATTCAACAACAGGAAATAAAATCTTCTCCAACAAATGGTAACGTTTCTATACAGTAAATTTTTCGATACGGTTGAAAGCAAATATTTAACATGTGTTTCTATAAAGGTCCACCATTCGCCCATGTTTAGAATATTTCTGCCACATATTGTCCGGTGCTCCTGCTATATTTTTGGAGATTCTTGATAAAATCCGAAGAATCAGCAATATTATTGGTACTGATCTGACATCTCGACTTCAGTCACTTTTCCCACCGCTGTAAAGTTGCTTCCATGTGCTTTTTTTTAATAAATACATTCATGGTAATTGTTTGGATGAGCTCTTCACTATGGTACCTAGACTTTATTAATTTAAGTGCAGTACTAGATTGGCAAAAAAGTCTCATCAATTTACAGTTAAATTGGCAAGATTTAATCGTAAATTCTATGCTAACATTTTCCTTTCTGGCACTTCTCGCCTGTGGAACTCCCTTCTGGCTCCATGCATTCCAGCTAACTTTAATCTTCAAAAATTTAATTGTAATATCAATCATTATCTAGTGTTTTCCTTGTTACTCTTCTATTGCTCTCGATCCTTAATAATGTTTATGCTTTCTAATTCTTTCACGCCTAGTAACACCTTGTGTCATAGTGGCTTTATTAACTCACTTGGGGTAAATACAATTAAAAATTGTTCACATGAATTAAAAAAAAAAAAAAAAAAAAAACAAAGACTAATCAGTGATTCGCAAGATCTGATAACTGAAATTACAAAAAGCATCAAGTTGTTACTTACAATTGCAGCCAATCTTTGATATTGTTTTAGCAATGGCATCTCCAACATTCCGGGCATCTAGTTTGAGAAGAAAACGATAGGACGGTTTATTCGCGATTAAACGCAATTCACCTTTGTTGTTAACCTGCTTTGCTTCGATGGCAAATATTTTCACACCTTCAGTTTTTAATTCTTCTGCAATTGGAAAAGGGTTATCTACACTTTCTCCGTCTGTTATTAGTATGGCAATTTTTGTAGCATTTTTTCGAGCCAGTGGGCTGCCGAACCCTTCTCTTTTCAGATAAGTAAGAGCCCTACCGATTCTTGTGCTTCCGGACAAAGGAAAAACACTGCTCATTGATGATAAGAATGAATTTCTGTCGTGTGTTAAATCAATGCTGAGATAAAATGAATCACTGAATGTTGCCAAGCCTGCGTGAATACCGTCCATTTTCATGTCTAGGTTGTTAATAACGTCAGCAACAAATTTGAGTTGGTCGGCAAAGTTCTCCGTTTGGATGCTGCTTGACGAGTCCATCAAAAAGAAAACATCCATTGAACTTTGTCGGCATCCTGAAAAATATACAAATGATTTTCAAAAATAGATATACCATTCAACTCTAATTACCAGTAACTTGCGTACACAACAGCATTTATATGCAATAACGGACTGGTCTATTGGGATACTGGTGAATTTTTCGGTTGGTCCCTTCTTTAATTATATATATATATATATTTTTTTTTTTTTTTTAAGCATTTCACCCCAAGCAAGGCGGGGAGCCACTAGGACGCAAGGGGTTACAGAAAATAGGAAGATCAGATAGGAGTGATAGAAGAAAGGATGAGGGTAGTAGATAGATTAAGGCAACTGGAGATGTCGATTGACATTACACTTGAATAGCTGGAGATTATAACTCTCAGGGAAACAGGAGAAGGGAAGAGAGTTCCACAGGCGAGAGGTGCGAGACATGAAGCTATTAGAGTAGAAGAGACGGCTACATTTATGAGTTTCGACAGTGAAGGGGTGAGAGCGGGATGCCAGCCTCGTAGGGCGCTTGAACTCATGAAGTTTGGGAACCAGCGAATGCAGTTCCTCGGAGCAATTTCCATGAAAGTATTTGTAGAACAGACAGAGGGAGGCGACGGTGCGTCTGTGAGAAAGTGACTGTAGACGAGACGCCAGGGCAGGGCCAACCATATTACATATCCGCTTCTGGAGCCTATCAAGAACCCCGAGGCAAACAGAAGGGGCGCCAGACCATATATGGCAGCAATACTCCATGCAAGGGCGAATTGTGGATTTGTATATCTGGAGGATCGACTCAGGAGAGAAAAACTTCCTAGCACGGCTCAGGGAGCCAACTTTCCTCGCAGTGGACGAGGCAATTGACTCGATGTATTTATTCCATCTCAGGTCAGCAGTCAACGTGAGACCGAGAAGCCGCAGAGAGTTGCTCTCGGGAAGTTGAGCGTCAGACATTATAATGGAGGGAAGGGAAGGGAAGGCTTTCTGTGGTGATTAATAGAGAGCAGTTTTGTCTTCGAAGCGTTGAAGTTGACCAGCCAAATCATGCCCCAGTTCACAATCGATTGGAGGTCCTTTTCGAGGCGCACGGCAAGGTGAGTTTTGTCAGCGAGACTGGATTTGTTTTTGAGGCAGGAATAAATTGTGGTGTCATCCGCGTAGATGCCGACTTGAGAAGTTACGGCGTCAGGAAGGTCATTTATATAGATAAGGAATAGAGTGGGGCCTAGGATGGAGCCTTGAGGAACACCTGCGTTCGTGGGGTAGGAACTGGAGGAGAATCCGTTGTGAACGACCTTCAATTCACGGTTTGACAGGAATGATTGTATTACGTTATATAATTGACCCGTAATGCCATAACCCTGGATCTTGCGGAGAAGGCCGGCGTGCCAAACCCTATCAAATGCTTTGGAGATATCTAGTGCCACGGCTCGGGCTTCCCCGTTATTTTGGAGAGTTCTATATTATATATATATATGATAAAAAGAGTTAATTTATTTTTAATCGATGTTTTTATTGCTTCAAATGTTATTAAAATTTAGTTTGAGTTGTTTGTTTAACGGCATGTAAACGCCTACGCCTTATGTGTCATTTAATGACGAAATTTTATTCTTTGGTCATATTTTTTTCCCATAATGTATTGCTTGTAATTTTTTATTTTTTTACTATGAAAATGTATTGCTGATAATTTTTCTAATGTATTTTTATAATTTCATGTTTTGACCCCAGTTTGTGAGTTCACTATTTGCTCATAGATGGGACCATAACAAGTGTTACCACCCTGGATCAAGGTGGGGCTGGGAAAAACAGCTATTATAGGTGGTTTCACGCTCCTCAAAACCTCCCGATCAGAGGACGTGCTGCCGGATTTAGTTTATCGTCAAACCCAGGACGACGTTATTATAGTGGACAGTCCGTAATTGAAATAGACGCACATTTTTATTTATTAAACATTCGAGAAATCTCTGTAAAGAAAAATGCGTTCCCCGACAGGGATCTAATCTGCGTCCCTTTGTCGGAGGAAACCACTGCTTGATTCGGTGTGCTTTACCGCTCGGGCACGGAGAACGACGCTGCAAGTAAGATTCTGTTTTCAGCATGTAAATACGAAAAGAAATATATATGTAAAGAGAAAGGAAATTCCTAGTAACACAATGGGAATCGGGGATTAAAATTAAAGGATTTCAACGAATCAACTATTAGAAGACAGTGATTCTGTTTTCCTTTCCAAAACCAATGTACCGAGGATGGAGGCGGGTGAGAGGCTATGTCGCCGACATCGTTGCGATAAGAATGATCTTGAACAGAAAATCAACATCCTCTACCAAATAATTCCTAGAAATAGGACTCAAGATAAACCTTCCCAAAACAGAAACAATGATATGGGATTGGAATGAAAGTCGTGATGGCACATAACTTGAATCCATCATAAAAATTCAGGATATGGAATTAGTAAATGCCAAACATTTAAAATACCGCGGAGTATGGATCAATTATAAGTAATTTAGTACAGGAAATAAGGAAACTGAACATAGAATATGCTACACTAGATGTAGTTTTATCCAAGAGCGAAAATTGCTACAAAACCAAAACATTAACTTCAAAACTCGAGCCATGTTTTAAATAGCCTCGTCAGATAGGGACTTTCATATGGATGACATGCATAGGGCCGAACCCGTTCAACGATATCTAAACTGTCTGCTATATGCAATCGCTTTCTAAGATCAATGATTAAAAATGTTTTGGGCGAGTGAAACCTGTGGATCTTGGTGAAGACAACACTTCTTCAAACCTTGAGAACTATTGCTACTGAATTACAAAGATCTGTATCAGATAACAGAAACTACATCACTTGAGGTTAGGAAGAAAAAACCCGTCAAAACTGGAAAAAGTGATAACAGCTACTGAACTTAGGAAACCTATTTTCCTGAAAAATTTTTTTAATAGAAAGATTTTTATAAATATCAACCATCAGCAGCACTGGCTGCTAGGTCAATGAATGCCGAATGTTTCCTTATAAGGAAACGGCTAATATTACCATTACCATTACATATTAAATTAAATTAAAAACGAAAAAAATATAATTTTTTTGTGACATGACGTGGGAATTGAAATAGAAAGTGGAATGAGATAAATAACCAAAACCAGCATGAAGATCCTAAAAGTTAAACGATAGATAGATAGATAGATAGATAGATAGATAGATAGATAGATAGATAGATAGATAAGCAACCAAGAAGTCGTGATCATAAATAAGCCTAGCCTATTTATATACACACTTCCTCCAAACATCCACCCATCCAATCAACATATATAAGCAATCAAGGCCGTGATGTAAATAAACCTCAGAATTGGCTTTAAAGAAAATAAACTAAAAAGGGTTGGTTTCCTCTCCCCTCATTAGTCTTAAACCACGACTGACATACATAACATAACTCGCCACACAACCCACTAAAAGCACATGATCTGAAGATCGCACTAAAGCATGAAACTGATAGTCACCATACAATGTTGATTCCTATGTCTCTCTCTCTTCTCTGTCTCTGTTACCCCATATATATATATATATATATATATATATATATATATATATATATATATATATATATACGCACATTATCAACCAAATCCCGCATACACCAACTAGAATTATCATATACAAACACACACGCTACCTGTCAAGATAAATACAATGAAAAACAATCAACACAAAAAGGAAAACTATCAGAATTGTCTTTTCTCCCCTATATTTCATTCTCTGCTGAGGCTTAAATAAAGGCTGAACATGTTGAATATATAAACGCTTCCTGTTTGTTCCTTATCTTATAATTCTGTCGGATTCTTATCCATTTTTGATCCCAATTCATATATATATATATATAAAAATGCTTCAAAAGCCGAGATGGTGCCGAATCGGCCTACAATGACTTCATCGCTTCCAGAACTCCGGATTTCTATGCTAATGGGATAAATAAACTTGTTTCTCGTTGGCAAAAATGTTTCGATTCTAATGGTTCTTATTTCGATTAATAAAGTTTATTATGAAAGGAGTTATGATCTTTTGAAGTTGAACGTCAAAAACCAACCTAATAGAAAACAATAAATCAATTTAATTTTATTTTTAAATGATTTGCTTCAAGGTTTTGTATACGAGAGTTCTCGGATCGACGCATAAGATTTTAGATACGAGAGTGTGAAGAAAATCTCATGGGCTGACCCATCTTCCTGATTATGGTCAAATACTTACTTCATTTTATTTGAACTTTGTATAGGAGGAGTGCAGAAGAAATTTTCGTCCCGATTGACTTTCCGAAATCTGAATCAGAAATGTTTTTTGGAATACTTTTTTTTTTTTTTGGCAAGACAGATAAGTTTTCAGCACCTCCCTTTATTTGCACAAAAAATGAATATTGACCTTTCCATTCAGCTAATATGAAAAAAGTAGAAAATTTTAAAACAAAACAGACCTCTCCTGAGTGGAATAGCATCTACTACTGCAATAATGGCGATCTGAAAAAAAAAAAAATGCAAAATGTTTTAGAATATATATATATATATATACAATGATGAAGAGATATTGTTTATTATTCAGAAATCCTTCTTAAGATAGGCTAACAATTTATATTGATAAAATATTTCAATCAATACTAATGGATACCAGTGTCAAAATAGAAACCGGAAGTAAAATTTCAGTTTTGAATTTTATAAAAAATGAATGCAATTTTTCTTTCTTTTTAGTTGTTTTTATGTATAAATAAATAAAAACATTCAAACAAATATCATGCATAAATTATATTTAAAAAACAGTTATTATTTATAGACTACTTTACAAATACAGTAAAAAATGACGGCGATATTTAAGTAATTCTGCAATTGCATCGGCTGTATTTTTTGCAATAGTAATTTAGGATTTTGATGTTTGTGATTAACTCTATTGTCGTATGTAACAAAGAATTCTTCTTAAATCATTAACAGTAAAAACATTTAGCGAACTATTAACACTACTTCTTTTTTTATGTGCCGTGTCCCTTCTGGACGTAGACGATCATGGCACTCTACAACTTCCTCTCCCTTGTAACTCTTGATAATTTTTTTCTTTCTGCTATTTCTTTTAAAGCCTGTTTCGCCATCTATTTATTGAAGCTCACTAAGTATGTCAAGCGTTATTTTCCTTTGTCTCTCTTGCCTTCAATTTTTTCTGTGAGTATCAGATGCTCTAAGTTTTGCCTTCAATCTGTCATGTGAGTATTAGGTTTTCCAATTCCTCTTTCCTCCTTCCTCATTATATGCCCCAGAAACCTCAACTGTCTCTTACTGATGTTGTATTAAGTTTCCTTTTTTCCATTTTCTCTAAAACTTCGTCGTTGCTCACATACTCGGTCCAAGGTATTCTCAGCATCCTTCTGTACAACCACATTTCTGTTGCTTCGAGTCTCTTCTTCATCTTTGACGAGATTGTCCTACACTAATTGCCATATAGTAGGACAGATATCAAGTAACTGTTTAGTACTCTTTTCTTTGTTTCTAACGAGATTTTCTGTTTATTAGTATTCTGCTTAGCTTTTAGGGTGCATTTTTGCTTATCCCAATACGCCTTCGGATTTCAGTGTCACACTTTCCGTCCTCTCTTAAAACATTTCTCAGATATTTAAATTTCCGCATTTTTTATTTTTATTTTGGTATCTCCGATTTTCAATTCCCACTTTGGACTCATCCTTTTGCTAACAACCATGCATTATGTCTTCTCGCAGTTGATGTTTAATCCTTTCTTCTCGCTTTCTTTCACTACCTTCTGTAGGAGTTTTTGTAGTTTTCTTTCTGCTTTCAACACTGTCAACTGCATACCTTAAGATTGTCACCAATAATGAATCCTGATAACACTTCTACTTCACTCAGAATCGTCTCGCTGTAGAGGAAAATATTGTTAGAGAATGCAAAGGCAAACTTATTAATATACTGTCAATCTTCACCCTGAATCAGAACAAAGGCAATATGGCACTAACTAGCAAATTAAATTTGAGTAAATTTAAATACGAATCGTCTAGATTTGTAAACGAATAAGTTATAAATTAAATTAAATAATAAATAAAGTCAAATATGTAACTAAAATCTAAAAAAAAGAATTAATTACAATTAAATTTAAATATCGAATCAATTTAAAACCTTTAAAAAAACAATTCTTTATAAAAAGTTTCATGTCAGTTTCGGTTTTCATCAGAAATGGAATTGATAAGATTTAATTAAACTTTAATTAATATAAGGGGCAAGCTAAATTGCTCAGCAAGGCTTACATACGTTTACAGAGGATATATTTCAAACCTAGATTTATAGAGGGTCGCCTATCTGATATATTGCACGGCTAGGCTCCCCGAGTACCCTTTAAGGATCAACTTTATACGAATAAAAACTAAAAAGAGCCTTTTTTTTCCAAGGTACGTTTGGAAAGGTAAACAAAAATAGATATTATACTATACTATATACACGTAGAAAAGTTAGGTGGGCGTAGGGTCTTAAATACAGTTTTTATTCACAAAATAAACCAGATCAGGATAATTCGTGTCCATAGAAAACGTAAAATTGACGAATAGTCTATTATTTCTGTCAGGTACTTCAGAAGTTTTGGTTTCTGCTCTGTTTGTAATCGAAATTCATAGTAAATCGATGCCACAGGAAGTAGCCGACCTCTAAAATTGGTTTTTAACACTACTACGGTTACGTAGTCGATATATTTCATAGCTAGACGGTTCCTAGTATCTCATAAGACCCGACTTTATATGAAGAAACACTTAAGAAAAGAGTTTTTAAAGTTTGTGACAAAAATATACACAAACAACATAGATCGTACACGATAGGCACTGCCACAGACTTTTAAAAAGAAACTAAAAACGCATTTTAAATAATTTTTAGATGCATTCTTTGAAGTTAAATTTTGGTTCTATTTCAAAGATAAAGGCCTAAAGTTAATCCGAATTAAGAGAAAAAAATAATTTCTGTATATAATTGGGCATTTTTAAAACATTGGTACTTTTTGTCATTGTATCTAAAAAATCTAAACAAATTTAAAATTCTATTTAAAATTCAAATTAGCCTAAAAATTTTTTCGAAGTATATTAGAAAATTTTTAGACCTAATTCACTGGATTTTCTATAAGTAATGGTCACCTTTTACTTAAAACAGAAAGAAAATAACGTTTTATTTACATACAGCATCCTGTGAGATCAAAGGACAAAATAAAAATAATTGTAATTCTACCGCCTATCCGAAAAAGCGCACAATAAAGTAAAAATGAAACCTAAAGAAATACGGAAGACCATCAGTGCAATAATGAAGAATTTGTTATTTATGTTTAAAAATAGTATAATGAATAAATTCGAAGGCATTAAGGCGTTCCCAAAATTAAAATATAGCGTGAATGTAAATGCATTAAATTGATAATGCAAAAAGAAAAATATTATTCTAAGAGTAAATTTTAGAAAAAAAAAAATATAGTAAATATTCTTTTATTCGAATGAAATAGTTTCGTCGTAATTCTGAAAACTTTCTTAATGAACAGCAACGGGATCAATTTCAAAATCGCACTATAAAATATCGAGAATGGTCAGTCGGGTACTTCAGGAGTTTAGGTTTCTGCTCTGTTTTCAATAAAAAAAAAATTCATAATAAATCGATCCCCCGAGAAGTATCCGACCTCTAAAATCGGTTTCTAACACTGTTACGGTTACGTATTCGATATATTTCAGAGTTAGGGGTTGCTACTACCGCAAAAGAACCAACTTTATATGCAGAAATCCTTAAGAAAGGTGATTTTTAAAGGGTTGCGTCAAAAATTTATACAAACAACGTAGATCGTATACGATAGTCATCACTAAAATGGAAGCCTTTTTTTTCCGAAATGAAAGCAAAAAATCGCTAACCCCTGTTTTAAAATAATTGCCCCAAATCAGGGAGTTATTCGATGCAAACAAAATTTTCAATACTTATCCATTCATAAATGAATTGTATACTGTGTACACCCATTTTAAATAATTTAAATGCCTTCATTTTTTGCTTTCATTTCGAAAAAATAACATCCATTTTGATGGTACCTATACCTAATTGGTGACCTAGGTAGATTAATAAAAATGCAAACAAGAACATTAACAAGATCCCTATTAACCACCTTTTTGTAAGAGATTTGAAAGAGTGAAATATGTGAAACTACTCAACTACTCCGGTGATATATTTATGTAATTGATATTTATTATGTAACATTAGAATCTGTGCAAACAGAAACATGCATACATATATTTACTACCTTCTCTTACACTCTAGGTAATGACTTAGTAAGGGATTGAATTAAAGAGAAAGCAAATAATACATACATGCATAGAACGGTACAACAAAGCAACAACAACACCTTTACTAGGCAATCCGAAAACATCAAAGTCAAAGACAAATACTATGACAATGAACATGAACCATCAACTGTAATAGAAAATGATGAAGTTACTCTTCTCTGGGATATTCCAGTCGAAACTGACGAAGAAATTAAGCCCAACTGACCTGATATATTAATAAGGAAGAAGAAGGAGGAATGAACGTGTATACTTATCGATATACCTGTCTCCACCCGAAGAAATGCCTCCCTGAAAACTACAGAAAAACTCTCGACATATAAAGATCGTGAAATAGAAATTCAGAGAATATGAATCATGAAGACCGCAACAACACTAGGGGTAATAGGTGCCGGCGATTGGGTCAGGAAAGAGATGGAAAATACATCAATAAAATTCCTCACAACATCAAGATACAAGAAGTCTAGAAGATCCTCTTCCTTGTCACTGCTCATATATTAAGCAGGATTCTATACATTAAATACATCAAGAAGATGGACTCGACTCCATGAATGAAAAAAGCAGGACATAGTAAAAATAATAATAATAATAATAATAAAACAAGAGTAGTACCAGTCATAGTCGGTGCGCTTGAAGTGATACCCCCCCCCAAAAAAAACACAACAACACATTGAAAGAATCCCTGGAAATCCTAGCTTAAGAGAAATACAAAACTTGTCTTGATAAGTACAGCCCACACACTAAGAAGAAATTTTTCTCCGTGCAACATTTAGTTATATGGGAGTTAAAAAAAACAAATCATGAAATGTAGTCATAGCAACACACCACTACCTGCCTTAGGTATTCCCGTGAACTTGGTGTGACCATCGTAGAAATCGAAATATAATGATGATGATACTACTACTACTACTAATTATTATTATTATTATCATTATTATTATTATTATTAATAATAATAATAATAATAATAATAATAATAATAATAATAATAATAATAGGTGCAAATTATAAAAATGGAACAAAACAACACATTGAAAGAATCCCTGAAACCCCAATAGACATAATTGTCTTATAATACACACACTAAGGAGAACTGTCTTCTGTTTCGGAGATAAAAAAAAAAAAAAAAAAATTAACAAAATGTGGCCATAACAAAACCACGACCTGCCTTAGGGTCTTTCCACCAGACTTGGGTAGTGTGTCCATAGCGAAATCGAATGATGATTATAAAACAAATACCCGACATGTGATTATAAAACAAATACAGGTCAAAATGATATTTTTTAAAATAATAATAATATGAAGATGTTTTGCATAGATATTATAAAGTACATTTATGTGCAACTATTTCAAAGTGCAAGTTTTCGACATATCTGGGTGTAGATATTATGCATTAATAATAAATTTATTGACAGTCTTAATATAAATCATACACAATGAGTGGGTATTATGTAGGGATAATATAAAGATTCTATATTTAAATATATCATTTTGAAGAGGATATTTGCAATTATTAAAGATCATCAAACGATATATGTCTTTCAATATCAACTTATTCAATTCACTTGTTACTTTTAACTGTATATTCCCTTAAATCTATTAATACATTATCTTACTAAATGTACGAAATACACTATCAAACAGATCTTTTTTCTTTTTTTTTTTTTTCGGTATCTAATAGGTTTATTAACGTTCTTTAGCTCCGAATGTGTGAAAGTCTTACATATTTACGAATAATTGCACTTATTCAAAATAATTTTTGCAGCGATAAATCGAGAGAAAAACTCAAAACTGCTTACCAAGAGAAATAGGAAGAAAACGCCGCCGGACATTTTGGGGGATTTAGTAATGAAATGCCAAGTTTACCTTCAATACACTACAGTGTAAGCAAGCCTTGTTATTGATAATGGCAAAGAATAAACAGCTTTTCACAATAAGTACTCAATACTAATGGTATGTTGTGCCTGATAAGAAGATTTGAGATGAGTGTTGTGAGGAGATAGGCGCTTTTAAGTTTTAACATTCCAGAGGCGAATTATTTCGGAAGTTGATAAAAACTAATAAGGAAGTAAAACAAATTTCTGGGGAAGAAAAATGTCGCTGAAACAAATGACCTCTTTGTTTCTTTCATTAATTCTTTTTTAATGTATCTTGTAGAAGTATGTTGCCTTTTTTTTCTTCTTTTTAATGTCATGTCCTTTCGGGACGTAGATGATCATTATTTTCCACAGATATTTCTTTATTATTTGTAAATTTCCATGTATTCTTGAGGAAAACAATGGAGTGGTATCCCACTGCATTCTCCGCGGTTTGAAATTCAGAATTTGCCTTTTCTGCCTCTTTCCTTCTGTCATCCAAAGCTAAAGAGCCTTGTCTACGCAGCCATAGTTGGGAGCAGAATAGATGGAGGCATACCTCTTCAAAGTCATTTGTACAAAAGTGAACGCAACAGACTAAATTTGAACTTGGTTCATCGACTCCACATTCTTCGACAATACCCATTACACTAAGCCGCACATCCTCATGTTGCACATAGTTTCGTAGAGATACGAGATCTGAATTCAGATCTTGTTTGGGATTACTTTTATCTTTCCTATCCAAGCTTACTTAAAGGTTGTAGTAGAATGTAAAAAAGACCCGACCGTTGTGATAACAACAATAAAATTCGGTGGAAAAGAACAAAGACTAAAATTAAGCAATAAATAAAAATAGTGTTTCATCAAAGAAATTTGAAATTAAAAATGGATTAATATGAAAAAACATGAATAAGAGAAGAACCTATGAAAAGATTTTGATATCAGTTTTTGCATTCTTAACAAAGCTAAGGAAAATCTAAGCTAATTAATTAATACTAGAATAGTTTGTGATATGAGTTGTAAGCAAAACCATTTGGAAAATTGATACGTTTAAAGGTGGGTTCGATCTGACTTTGCGAGAATGACAGGTTTAAGCTTGTATTTATATATTTAAATTGCTTGCATAATTTAATAAAGCATTTAGATTTGACAGCTAAAAAATCTACATTCAATATTTATAATAAATTATTTTGTAATGTTTGTAATGTTTTGAAATTCAGCCAGTTCCTGTTATCGATAAGAGATTATTTCATCAAAAAAGACATGTTTGAAGAATCAAAAAATGTAAAATTTAATGTTACTTTTTGAGCATTAACATTTTTGAAAATATTTTTTTTGCAACTGTTGGATTATTTTTTATCTTTTTGTATGGAAGTTTAAAAAGGAAATAATTCAATAATTAACTGTAATCAATTAACAGTATCAATTCGGTAAGTTTTTATCAGTTTTCTTCTTTTTTGTATTAGTTCCTTTAGCTTAATAAACCAGAATAATTAAAAAAAAAATATGTACAATTAGATATTTTATGATATGAAACAGTTAAAAAATATAAAAAAATAAAAGCAATGAATTAAATTCAAAATTATTACTTAACTTAACAAGTTTTTAATTAATTTCTTTTTATACTATTAATATAATATAAAAAAAATAAATGTATTCATAATAAGTTTCATAAAAGCCTATAGAATAAAACGATATTCTTAAACTATTGGTTATATTAGATTAAAGAAAATTTATTTTTAAATATAAGCAATACCAATTTCCAGATTCTAATAGTTTTGGTCCTCCGCACTTATTAAAATTTCACGCGCTTTTAAAAGTTGTAGGTGACAAGACTACTGTTGTTTAACTGCGACCTTGATGACAGTTCATGGGCTACCGTGCGTAAATAGAAGTTATCTTCGCTGTTTTAAGCAAAAAGTAAGCATTACTTTTACAAAATCTAGTGAATTAATCCTTAAGTTTACTAATTTAATTTGAAACAAATCTCTAAGACAGATATTGAATTTTTGAATAATTTTAAAATTTATTGTTTTTATTTGTTATAATGGAGATTCGATAAGGTGGTGAGTGATCGTGCCATTGTTTTAAAAATGTCCGGAATTTTATTTAAATACATAAAATTATTTTCATTTTATTTTCAGGGATTAGCTTTAGGCTATTATCTTTTAAATAAAACCAACATTGAACTTCGAAAAGGCATTTAAACTATTTTTAAAATGTGTTTTAAGCTTGTTTTTGCAAGTCCCTGGTGGTAACGGTAAATTACATATTTCGACTGTAGCGGTTGAAGTCGCTGAAGTGTTTCAAAATATGTATGTTTCAACAGCAACTTAAACGGAACCTACCTAAAATGATGTTGTTGTATGAGCGATAAGAATAAAATGCAAGAAAAGGCGCAGTTTATGAGGATATTTAGGAAAGATAATTTTACACTTTAAGAGGTTAAGATTGTAGTAATCGGAAAGCGTCCTCTTGGGAATCGGTTCCACAAAGTAGCGTTTTGTGGAAAGAAGTTGGAACTTCTGACTCATGGAACGTGAAGAGAATGACGATGGTTCGAATCAGTGTATGCGGCATGGCGAGTTTGAGCTATGAGGGTAGTATTTACGTTTACTACTCGGTCAATGAATACCAAACGTTTCCTTATAGGGAAACGGCTATAATTACTATTGCCATTAATATAAGCATTCCTATGGGATTTTCCTCAAGTTATTGGGAAATGCCATTCATATAATTGCCTACTCCTCATTTTCTGAGTATACCCGTCTACTAGGACGGCTAGCCAATCCCTGCCGCGGGTGCCTGCTCAGTAACATGTGTTTCTTCAATATCTACAGAGGCCACCTGTATTTTATAATACAACTATGCTAAACGAACCTTAGTTACAATTTTTGGGAGAGAGCGCGTGATCTGGAATAATAAGCAGTTTGAACAACGCCAGTACACTCAAATCATCTCTTAAGATTACTTGGGACTTCGTGCTAGCATGTCATTTACATATAAAAAATAATTTAAACATGTTTTTTTATCTTTAAATTTTACAGACGAATTGACCAGATTTAACCGGCCAAACTAGTACGTTTGTTTGCAACTGAATTTAATAATACCAATTGGACGTAGAGAGGTATATGCTATTGAATCAACACAAGCAATGTAGCGGCTTTCACGTAGCAGTGGCGTGCTTCAAAATTAGTCATTTACATTTTAATTTTACATCGATAGACTAAAAAAATGTATGTGTCAAGCAAATAAATATGAATATCTAGGAGAATTTGTAGGTTATTCTTGATTCCGATGACAAATTTGAACCGGGAGAATTGAAGAATATAGTTCCGATGATGACCCAGACTTCGACAGCACTGTTAATAGCTCAGTTTGGGGAATTAGATTATATAGTTGTGTTTTTGCAATTTGTGCCCGTGATTAATGTTCTAAGAAAAGTAAAAACCATGATTTTGAATTCAGATTTTTAACGGTATGGCACAGGTACGCGTGGCCACTCCAGTTGAATGAGTGGCGCAACACATATTTTTATCATAAATTTGCTTGGCCTTTTGCCTTACTTACTTAAGGCTCATAAATACTGTTAATTTGTTATAGTTTAAAATTAAATAAACTTTCTAATAATACAAGTAAGTTATTCCTGTAAAAAAGATTTAATTAGTTGAATTTATTTATTTATTGTGCTCACATTATTAAAAGTTAATTGTATAATTAGTGTTTGATTTTTAAGCTAACTTTCAACTTTAAAAATCTTTGTAATTTTTACTCCACATGTGTCGGGACAACATGCCTTACTCTTCCCTAATTAATATGTACAGAATTTGGTGGTCATGTGACCTTCAAGTACCAATCAACGGATCGTCTTCTGCTATGCGTCACTATGAGATGGTGTCCTGAATCTTGGGTAGGCACAACCTCTTGTCAGATGACGTGCCGGACATTTAAGTAAATACAGATTTTGTTTGATTTGGTTTATTTTGTTTTATCGCATATCAACCTCAATGGGTTATTTAATGTCGACAAGACTTTAAGGATAGGTTCGTATGAATAGAATATGCATTCTTTGTAAGTCAGATTTCATTGACGTAATTTTGTAATGTTTTTCTTTTGTCGAGAGTCAAATGTATTGCTGGCAATATATTTTAAAAATGTATTGCTAGCAATATGTTTTCAAAAATATATTGCTGGGATTTTTAATATAAAAATCTATTTTTATATTTTCATAGTGTTTTGATCCTAGTTTTGGGAGGGGATTACTATTTGCCCGTAGCTGGTAACCTAACAGGTGCTACCATCCCGGGTTAGGGTGGACCTGGGAGCAACAACAACTAAGAGGTGGATCCAGGCCCCTCTAAACCTGCCGATCAGCGGCCTTGCTGCCGGATGTAGTTTATCGTCATATCCAGGACGACAGATTTTGTAACACCTACGAGCTTTCAAGTTCAGAGTGAAGGCCTTTGGCATATTTTTATACTTCGTTAGCATGTTCTTTTTCGAGAAAATAAAAACTTCATTTACGTTATTCCGACATCTCCATAGCCGCCTTTACGTTTTATTTTATAATAAATGCTTTTGTAATTATCTGCTTTCGACTGCCAGATTCCACCGCGCTCGCTCAATATATACTTCATAACTCAACATATGCATTGATATGAAGATATCTTCAAAATTTATGTAAGGAACAAACAAAAACCCTATTTTACCAGCATTTCGACACATTTTAACACCAAAAATAATCAGTATTTTTCTAGGATTGATTAAATAACAAGCTTTAATTATTTTGATATCTCAAAATCCTCAAGGATAGAGCACAATAGTTAGAGCAAAGGTTTGAAAATATGAAATTCTTACATTTTAATTATTTCATACATCACGAAATTATTGGTGACTAGCAGTAGAGCCCGGCGTTGCTCGGGGATGTAACAGTAAGAGATAGATCAAGTATCGACCATCATAAAGACTGAAAAATAAAATTGACAAAGATTATTGTTTAAGGTTGACGGACACACTCAAACAAAAACATTCTTTTCAATCGTTATGAGTCTACCGATTGAAAAGAATTTTATTATAAACAATTGTCTTGTAAATGGAATTTTTAAAGCATTCTGAATGTAAAAATAAAGTAAAAAGTGTGCAAGACAATAAGAAACACTACCTACCAAAAAAAGTGAAGTTTTGTTGAAATCGGTTGAAAAATGTAGGAAATCCGATCCCATATATAAATGAACACACACACACACACACACACACACACACACACACACAAACAACCTGGGTTTTATAATAAATATAACTCGATATGAGTTGTCCCCCTTTCATTCTGGCGACAGAATCGTGTTTTCAAATTGATTTCGTGCAAAAACAATTGTGTTTTTCCAATTTTGGGCGCTGTCAGAACCACCGCAAGGTAATTTTATGTAGTCCTGTGAAGTTTTGTTGAAATTGGTTGAAAAATGTAGGAAATCCGATCCAATATATAAACGTACAGACACACACACACACACACACACACACACACACACACACAATCTGCATTTTATAATAAGTAAGATTAACTGAAAATCACGGATTTCAAAGAAGGAAAAAAATACCCTTCCTTATGGAAGATGGGTGACCGCTTGAAAATATGAAATTCTTACATTTTAATTATTTCATACGTCACGGCATTATTGGTGATTAACTGAAAATCACTGATTTCAAAAATGGGGAAAAAATACCCTTCTAAATAAATAAATGATTTTACGAAACGGTCAATCCCAACACCAACTGTAATATACAGTTACAAAATGTTTCTTCTTTCCAGTAATCTTCTTTGGTAGGAAATACAATTCGGACACTTTCAGGTTGATTTGCCGAGTTTTTTATTCGAAATGTTTCCTGTGGAGAGAATGAAAGTTTGAAGTAAGAATAAAGTTTCTTCGTAGTCAAACAAAGGATCCACTACATCTGACCACCTTCGATCACACGGTGTTTTAACGTTCACTTTCTACTGATTCTGGTTCCGCTGATGCTGAAACCACTAATGGATTTTTAAAAATACATTTTCTTGGAGGTGTCATGTAATCATACATATACGTAAATCGCTTGACTAGCCCCAATTCAAACAAGCTTACTACCAAGACATTATGCAGCTAACCTATGCTGCTAATGTAATTACACTTAAAAAGTTTAATTATGCTCTCGAGTGCCAAATAAAAGTCCTTCACAGCTTATTAATTTTTGGAACCTCTTTTTCACAGAGGGTAATTATAACATGATCACAAGAAGATATGATGACTGGAATGAATCTTAAAAAAATAGCGCGCGCGCACACATGCACAAACACGGCCACATCATTGGTTCTCATACAATCACCGAAGTTAAGCAACGTCAAGCTTGGTCAGTAACTAGATGGGTGACCGCTTGGGAATACCAGGTGCTGTAAGCTTGGTATAGTGTAATGGATAACGGATCGGAATTGAAAACCGGAAAGCCGAGTTCCAATCCAGTCAGGTTCATTATATTCACTTACGCGCAAATATCATTGGGAAAGGTATGAATCCATCGCTTCTGCCACCAGCTATGGGTTAATTAGTAGAACTTTTATCAGTAAATCATTATTATCTAGAAAGAATTATACAATAAAAAAAACTCAATCCCCCCTCATACACACACAAACAGCACAGCACTCTTTCACTCTTTTCCCATTTTGCAAATAATAAAAATAATAATCATAAAACCGGAAAGATCTTAAGTCAGCTGACATCTAATGTCACAACTTTCTATAAAGGGATTAGCTCACCCTCTTTCAGTACCAACCAGCCATCTGTTAATTGCTGTTGTTCCCAGGTTCCATCTAACCCGGGGTGCTAGTACCTGTTAGAACCCCAGTTATGGACAAATAGTGACCCCCAAACAAAAATCAGAACACTCTGAAAGTATAAAAATACATTTTTATAGTAAAATAAACTACAATACTTAGTTATAACAAAGTGACCTTTTTATAGCATGCAATTGCGTTTAAAATATTTAGATTTCGTCATTAAATAACTCACAGAGGTTGATATGCAGCAAACAAATTCAACCAACCAATATGAAAACACTCTTTCATGGCATTAATCCATGTAATATTCTACAATTTCTTAATGAAACCAAACTGTTTTCCAAAATATAACTTCAACAAAACTACAACATAAAACACATATATCACCGCTTCTAATAATTATATCTACACAAACATACTGTTATGTACCGTACCTATGAATACTAATGGTCATGTCTTAATCCTCATAAATACGTTGTATACTATTGTAAATGGAGGGGAGGGTAATATGCTGTCTAAGTTGTCCACCTCTAGCAGCGGTTTACCTATTTCACACCGCTGGCGAGTATTGTATTTTGTTGATTTTATAAAGATTACCATTTCATAATCCAACCTCCGTTTTGGTTATTCCTTATGTAGTAACTCTTCTAAGTTACAGCACATATATGCACAAAAGCTGAATATCATCTACCATGTATTCAACTGTGAAAGCAAAATAAAATATATTTTTATTGCTTAAATTAAATTATCCATAAGAAGTTGATATGCCGTTAAACAAAATAAACAATACTTGGGGTAAAACGTCAAATTTGGCAGCTCTCCAAAATCAGAGCAACGAATACACACCCACATACACCAACAAAGTAAATGCTTTTGCTAACTTTGTATAAGAAAAAATATAAAATAAGAAGAGTCAAGAATGTTTGAGCCCCATATTGACGTGTTAATTTCGATTATTTTGATCACATTTTTGTTAAGTCTAAACCTAATTTGTTGGAAAATCGTTAAGTAGAATATTGAATATAAGCTTTTTGAATTCAGCTTTTAAATAAATGGAGATAATAAGTTACAACCAGAATCGTTTCTCACATTCACCTTTCCGTACCTAATGCATATGTACTTTTTGATGCGCATGTTCTTTAATTGTGTGTATTTAGGTAGCAAATGTTCTTTAAAGCAAATGTTAATAAAAACAACAGACATTTTGTGTCGATTAATTTTATTGATCGACTTTTCTAAATTACGAATAATCCTTCTCAGATAAGGAAGAAATCACTTCAGAAATTTTCTAAAGTTCATTTCGGGAGAAATATGGTCAAAGCTTTCGACTTTCTTAAGTCATCATCAGGATAGGTAGAGACAAATGGTGAGTTTGGCAGAACTGGTGAGTGTAGTGACGTAGGCAAAGAGTTTTGTGATGTAGGCAAGGTGTGACGTATGTGCTTGTCTATTTTATTTATTTTTAATATATATTTGAAGATGAGGGCTCTTAAATTATAACTGTTTTTATTTATAGATGGTTGTTTTTGTTGTACGAGTATTGCTTCAAGGATTATGCCTGTTTTCACTGTTTGGCTTTGCTAGTATTTTGATATTGTTTGTGAGTAGCTGTTTAATGTTACTTATTGTCTGATGGTAACCTGGTCCGATCGGTGGCAGGTGAGTCACCGTGAGAGTGTGGTTTTGGTATATCCTATGTAAAATGTTTTGTGTGTGTGTTTTTTTATTTATTTACAAAGAAACATTCTCCGAGTGGGCAAGTATACTCATGCACAACATTGGTCTTCTGTAGGGGTTTGGATGTTTGGGATATATTATTTTAAATAACTAGGTTACTAGTTTGGGATTTTTTTGTAGTAAATGATTTCTTTAATATTGCCACTTTACTATGTTGTTACTTTAGGCAAATTGAACTGCTGTTGTGATTCAAATCGAAAGCCGTCGTCATCTTCAGTAGTGGTGGTTCTTTCGGAAAAAAAATCTGTTGACAAAAACCTTGTGAACTGTGGCTTTAACCTAGTCATATACACGTACTGGAATAATAAAGCAACTACAATGTACAGAAAAATATAATAACTCACATTTAGTCGCTCTGTAGGCCGAGAGAACTTTTACTTTCAAAACAAGAAACAAAATAAAAAGCATCGAATGTAGGGAAAGAAAAGTTGGTAAGTCTTTTTATTTTATGTTTGGATGTGTGAACACCATAACGATGCTTTCTAGGTGAGTGGATTTGGTCAGTGTATCTCCGTCCCTGTCTGCGATAATCACTCTCTCTATTTCTTTCTATTTCTTAGTTGCCATTGTCTACTCCTCTGACAGTGTTAATTAGCCTGATACTTGACTGGTCAGATTCCATAATCAGAAGAGTGTCTACATTTTTCTAGCTACGCACGCAAAAAAGACACTTTAAAAACTTTATCGGGTAATAATTTGAATTTAATATCAGCTCAAGAATATAATAACAGTAAGTACTTGAATATTTGAACTTCTACAATGTAATTTCAACTTCGTTGTTTTAATCCTATGACTGTTTCATTACGATAACGTAAATTACTCACCACAATACAGAGATTTTTTTTCTTGGGTTTATTAACGCTATCTAATATAATTCAGCCAGGTGTGGCTACAAAATTAAAAATTGAACAATAAAAACACTTTAATTTAAAAATGTAATGATGGCATTAAAAACAAACAAAACAAATTAAAGGACAATATTTTTAAAAAGGAAGATGTGTAGCAAATCTTAAATTTGTGTCTTTGGATTTCAAATTCGATTTGCGTTATAAATATCGAAGTTGATTGAGAATGTACATAATTGAGAAAAATTGAATATTCTATGCACCGATTTATTTTTAAATCTAAAGAAACTTTGTAGCAGACAGTTTTATTTCACTTATAGTTCAAGAGCAAATTTTGGGCAAAAGGATGTATCACATATAATTAAAACCAGTGACCTCTTATTGTTAGCTTTCCTAACCAATTAGTGTAGAGATATGATTAGCCAATGAGTGAACAACCCAAATAAACATTCGCTTGGAGCCTAATTATTATTTTTCTCTTCTGTCATATTCCTTGAGGACGTGGGTGATCATGGCTCTCCACGACTTCGCATCCCTTGTAGCTCTAAGTGATTTTTGTCTCCTTACTATTCCTCTGAATCCGTGTTCCGACATCCATTTACACAAACTCGTGAAATATATCCCTCGCTGTTTCTCTCTTCTCCCCTTGCTATTCATTGTCAAATTCTTCAATCTCTCTTCCCTCATTATGTTTCTCGGGAATTTAAACTGTCTGTTTTTGATATTAAGTACAAGTACTCTTTATGTTTCCATTTTCTTAAACTTCCTTGTTGTTTACGTAGTCTGACTATGGTATTCTGAACATATTTCTACAGAACCAAATGTATGTTGCCTCAAATCTCCTCTTCACTTGTGAGGAAATTGTCATAATAGGCGTATTTTCATATAGGAGACTTGATATTGCATTACATAGCAGTTCATCACTCTTTATTTTGTTTCTAACGAAAATTTCCGTTTCTCAATACTTTGTTTAGTTTTTGGAAGGCATCATTGGCTATTTCAATGCGCCTTCAATTTCTGGGTCACATTTTCTGTCATCTGTTATAACAAACTTCCTAGCAGTGGCAAAGGTTGTCAATGAAACCGAGGCATGCAGACCATGACGATCATTAATGGTTACGAGAGTAATCTGAGATAATAATAAAATCAGTAAATAATAATATATACTTAGAGCTTATTTATTTGTAAATTAATTAAATTCTTTGTTTCTTTTTTTACAAATTCATCGAGCGCTTTCCTGTAGAAATTATCAGCACCACACAATACTTTCATCTGCTTTAACAGAAAGAAGCAACTAACGCCACTGTTTTTTTTTTAATTTTTTTTTACTTCTTTTCTCGATCTCTCAACCTTTTTTTCACTCGGTTCTTCCGCGTTCTCTGTGTAGAATACGTGCGGGAGTGGTATTTGGAAACAGTGCCTTCTCAGCTTATACTACTAACGTCGCTTATTCAATATTTATCTTAAGAAATGCGTATCTCGCCTCTTGGACTGTCGTTCCTGCTCATGACCATACATTTTGTCTTTTTACGATTAATAGTTAGATCTTCTTGATTTCCTTTACTGCCTTGTCTAGGTGTTCTTGCAGTTTTATTATGTGTCTGCCATTAGCACGGTATTGTGGTGATAGATAAATAAATACATAAAAAGAAATAATAACAAAATGGCCAAAAATTCACTATCTCTAAAAAATAGATGGATAATGAAAATAGCCAGGCAAATAAAGCCAAAGTTCGACCAATCAATCAGAAAAATTTCACAACCAGGATATAAGAAAAGAAATGAGAAGGAGGCCAAAATTTCATCATTTCTAAAAATAGATAGTTCGACTAACTAATCAGAAAACTTTCACGATATATAAGATATAAGGCTGCGAGCCAGTGAGAAGCGAGCAGCTGTTTCAAAGTAGAGTTATAGATATGTATATAACCAGATGGAAAATCGACCAAAACCAGTCGATAAATTCATTCTATCCATTCTCCGATGCTGCGGCCATAGTAATATATACCCAGAGACAAAATACAGCATTTACATGACAAAC